CAGTGAAAACAAAATTGGACCAGTTCTGTGAGGCTGGGAATAATAACTTCCAAATTTCTGTATTGGGCATCGAAGATGGTTCATGAAACTGAATTCTTACTCATAAGGAGAAAACAGTGTCATGATGTCCTACTTCGAGTGCAGTGCTTCATTATCTTCTCTGCAAAGGATGCACTGCAGGCCCTTCCACCTACTAGCTGTGTTGTCATTCATTATTAGTCCTTCTTGTGAATCACTGGTAGGACTCTGCTTATTGGATACCCAAAACTGTTCTCTGAATGCAAAAAATGCTCTCAGTCTGGTTTGACCTGTAGTTTCATACCATAATTCTTATGTTCCACTCTCACCATGAAAAATATCACCTGTTTTCTTTTTTGGAAATAGTCTTTTGTATTGAAAACTTAGGCAGACATTTCCGTGAGAAGCTGTGACAAACTTTAGAGGACATAATTAATGTGTAGTGTGATGGCTCTCCCCAGAAAAGTGCTCAGCAGAAGGAAACTTGGCAGCATGTGTCCTTCATCTGTGCCATGTGAGCTCACAAAAAAAAAATGGCATCATATGGGCAAGAAACTGGGGTCAGGCACTGCACATTGATTTATTCATTTCCACCTGTTCAGTATCTTCCAGGATACTGCAACAATTAAAGGGGCATTTTTCCCTTGTGAGACCTTTATTTCAGACTGGAATTTGAGCCAAGGATATTATCTGCTTCTGGAAATACAACCAGAACTCCAGGGGAAACCCTCATGTGGGGGATAATATCCAAAATAGCCATGTATATTTATATCTGTGTATATGTATCTGTCAGAGACAGTAAGGGAAATGGCCTATTATTTCCATATGGCTGACAAGGAAAAAAAAAACACCAAAAAAATGCCGACAATTGTGAGTTCTCATGTATTAAGATGTACTATCAAAATAAATGAACATCAGAAATAGTCACTACAGAAAATGCAGTGCCTCAGTTAAGAGGTTGCTCCTCCTGAATATCTTCTTCCACGTACATCAGTACCAACTGCTTGATTTATGACATCAAAAGGTTGTGTTAAAAGTAATTAGAAGTATATTTTGCCTCACATGAAGTTAGAAAGCCTTTGCCTTTAGCAGCACTAGGGATTGTCAACCAAATGCAGGGTTGTCAGCTGCAAAATAAGAAAAAAATATCTATAAGAGAAAAATGATGAATGGTTGCTGCTTTCATCAGTGAAATCAAACTGCCTGTGGGCAGCTGGGAATAGAGGTCCATGTGTACTTTACCAGCAGACGTGGTCTTCAGTAGTGAGCACACAGAGTCATCAAGTATCCCCCAGCAAGCATGAGAAATCAATGTGGCAACATAGCATAATGTTAATAAATATTGAGCATAGTGCTCATATTGAAAGGTCAATGCAGTCATGTTTGCAAGTCCAAACTTTATCAAAAGAAGTAATCACGGTATTTCAATATCCTGGATTCTTCTTACTAGGAGGTATCCCTGCTTTTTCCAGTTTGTGGACCAGCAAACAAAATCTAGCTATCAAGTCCTCCAAGTTTTTGCTGATTTCTCTGGGCCATGGCCAGATCACTTTCATTGACTGAAACAGAGCTGCCTCAGGGTTTCCCTGACAGAGGAGCCTGAATCTCAACAGATTCCAGACAGTTAGAGGAAATCAGAGATGGTCTTCAACCAGCTAAACTGCACAAATATCCCCAACCATGCTTTTTGAAACACAAGCAATTCACAGTTAATTTACTATGCATTGTTTCAGACCTCACTTAAGCTCTGACTTACTTTAAGTCAAACCTAAAATTGTTGAAGGTTTTTACTCTTCATTTGCATGGGCATATTCTGTGGATTTAGCTGTCTGACCATCCCAGTAATACCACAATTTTTTTATAGTGGGAAATACTGTAAAAATAACCAAAATATCATGGTATCTATTCAGATTTTAGCTAGTTTCTCTGTTTTTCACCTGTGAAAAGGTCCCAATCCTCATTCAAGTAGTAGATGGGTGAGAATCAGACTAGATCAATGAAACGTGCCTCTTCCACAGTTCAGCTGTTCTCAAAGCTATAGATGCAGTTTCCATAAGGATCTTGCAATATAGTTCAAGGCCTGTCCTTTTAGATGCTTCAGAAGACTGTTTGGCACCTTTTGAGTATCTTCTCTTAGCAACACTGGGAAAGACAGTCCCCAGGCACTCTGAGAGCATTTACTGAACCTTGCTTCATTAAGCAATGTATGTATTTCTCATGCCCCTAGCACTCCAGGGTGGGTCACAACTGGCCACTGTGGCTGCAGAACTAATGTAATGCCTTTTGGTCCTTCAGCTCCTCCCATGTTCTTTGCCATTTGGCATGGGATACCATTCAGGATCAAGCCTCTAGGTTAACAGGGATTCTTTAGGTGCTCTTTAATTGGGGTACAGGAGTACCAAAAAAGAGTGAAGAAAGCAGAAACAAGTGCAGTGATGATGGCATATTGGAACTATTGTTTGGAGCTTTCTTATTCCCCTTTCTTTCTCAAGAAACAAGGCTTATTCCATCAAACTCTAGAGTGCTATGTCTGTATCACTCAAAGTGTCCTCAGGTTTCTACAGAAAGACACCTCATGTTTTTCTGAAGAAACTGAGAATATTGTTTCCATGTTTCCAAAGCTTTCTGGTAGAAAACAATATGCAGCTTGCAGAAATTGCTTTCATAATCTGCTCAAGATTGAGGTGTTGGCCTGATTTTATATCCTTTTCTACTGTTTTCAATGTCTGAGTCACATGTAGCAGAGACCTGCTTTATTCCAGCTGGAAATGGGTAAACTCATTGGATTAGAGACTATGACTTTGAAGATATGATTCCTTTTATGGAACAAAATGCAAATTTTTATGAGATTGTCCTTGGTGTCCTCAGATACGAATGTGAAAGAGCATATGGCTGCAACAATTGTAGAGGCTTTAACAGTGTAAGAGATGGAGCCAGGGGATCCTGCAAATGCCTCATTTTTCAGATGGGTTAATTACTAGCAGATTCCATTGATTACAATCAGTTGTGACCATTTGGAATTTTTAAAGAAAAAGGAGGCCCAAAATGAATTAAAAGGATGATTTCAGAGGTGTAAGATGAGGCATTGTTCTGAAGAGATCAAAATACATCCAGCAACTACATGTAGATAGATACAGATGTTAGACTGCTTCTCTTAATTTCTTGTTCTCAGCATTTCATTTCTACCTAACCAATTAGCATATGAATGTGTGTGTGGCCTGTGCTGGATGCTATAGGGGAAGAGAATGATGATTTGCTTGATGATTTCTGTTGCTACATAGTTAAGAAATCTGAGCTATGTTGAGGTGTCTTTAATGATCTACTTTATTTTCCTGAAAGAAAATTTTAATTATAGAGAAACTCATAGTCATGAATCACTTTCTAAACCATTCTTACACATTCAGCCTTTTAAGGTATATGTCAAGATAGGTTTTAACCTACCATATGCATAAAAACCTTTTACTGATAACTTTACAGAAAATGCACTTTGAATATAGCAACCATTTATAAGATCAGTACATTTCAAAAACTTTTTTGAAATCTGCAAATTTATATAGCTCAAGAAAAGAACTTAAATTTGAATGAACATGAAGGCACAAAACTTCGTGAGGTCTTAGTAGAAAGTTTCTATATAGCTGGAGAAAATGTCACATCTTGTTTTAGAAGACAGTGGCCTTTTTCCTTCCAAACTGAAATCTTTATACTTTTTTTACCACCTTCTTCATCTGATACAGAATCTTGTTTTGATTATTCAGTGTTCCTTATTTTGCTTCAAATTAAATTGACTGTCTTTCTGAAGCCTGAAATTACTTTGTTTTTCACCAAAGTTGTACTGTCATTTGAAACAAATTATATGGAGTCTGCTTCTTACACACTTACAAACTAGTACACTAGTAAACATACAGAACTACACATTCCTACTTCACTGATTTTATTCTGTAATGATTTTACGTAGCACACACTGACTACCAGCACTGGTTTCAAAATGACAGTTTGAAATGCATTTTTTTCTTTTCACTCTGCAGATGTTCCCTGTACCAGATGGTACAACTTGAAAAATAACTTCTAAAAATACACAAACTATTAGCTTTCTTTCTCCTGAAACTATAACTTCAAGTAAGATTTGTATTTAAATACAATTTAAGAAACCTAAGTTATTCCCAAAGACTGATGGCAGTCTCATCACATGGTGCAAATAATCACATTATAAATGCATAATTAAGAGTCCAAGGTAGGTTACAGGTAGGGTAAAATCATTGCTGTAAAAGCTAATACTGACATCAATTTTGGAATAAATCATAAACAATTAAAAGGTGTAATTAATCAAACAACTTCTATGAATATTTTCTGTATTGACATCTTAAAAATAGTTCTTTCTCTGCACTTACACCTTTAAGGTCTCATAGCTGTGATGTTTTTTCACCTGACCTTGCAGAAAGTATCTGTCTCTTAGTATACTAAACAAGCTGCAAAAAGTAATGTGATTTCAAATAAACCTTTAAAAAAGCAAGGAATGGTGCTTCCTTCCCACTTAGTTCAAGGTTCATTATACTTGTCAAGAAAGCAGTAAAAAAGAAGGCAGTGAGAAATTTGACAGAGCGAAGGCAGCCCCACCAACTGCACCTCCAGCAGTTCCTGTTTGCCATTTGCACCCACTGATAAAGTCAGAATGAGGACACTATTTCAAAAGGCTCGTTTTTTCATCTCACTTAAACACAGTAAATGGAGACAAAAAATAAAAATGCTGTAAACTGCAATAGAGAAAATCTGACAACCCGGCAGATTTTATTTTTATGGAGTCATTATGAAATGATGTATCTTAAGTAAAGATCAAAATGTCATGACAATAGGAATGTGTTCCTGTTGATGTGAGTGTAGGTGAGACACATGCAGTAACGAGCTCTGGTTAAAAACAAAGACAGTTACAGGGAACAACTTGGATAGAAGTATGGCTTTCTAAGTGCAGACTTTAGAACTCCTACCTCTCTGCAGATTCATCTGAATTCTCTTCTGTGATCATCTGCAACTCCTGTGTGGTTTTAATTGAATCTTCTTTGACACAGTTTTCCTCTGTGCTTCTTTTGGGAATATCCTCATTTGATCGAAGCTGTTCTATGAGATTCTGTTGATGCCAGGCTTGAATCGATCGGTGGTGCACTGGGGTTGGACCTGGCACGGGTGCCAGTATATTGTGGTGGACAGGACTGCTGTTTTTCTTCAGCCCGTTTCTGTCCCGAGAGTGGTTCTTCAACCTGTTCTGAACCGGGGTCCCTCTGTGCTCATATCCTTCCTGCTGGTGGCAGCCCCCCGTGCCTGTGGAGCCTTGCGAGGGGTGGCTGAACCACCTCCAGCGGAGCCTCAGGATCTGCTTCACATCAAACTCTTTCTTTCCAGATACTGACATTTTGTTCAGGAAAGAAAGAAAGAAAAAAAAAAGAAAAAGAAAAAAAAAAAAAAGACAAAAAAAAAGGAGACAAAGCCTTTCTTTTAGAAAGGAAATGGATTCTTTGTTATCTCTTGTGTTTCAACTCCTCTTCTTAAGAAAAGACAACAAAAGAACAAATACCGGTAGCTCTCTCCCTCTTTTCTGATTAATGCACTGCGAGCTCTTGGAGCCGATGCTGAGCTGCTGCTAACTGTATAGGTGGGAATCCATACTGACAGGATGATGAGGTCAGACCTTAAACAAGTAAATCAGCTTAGCACAGGAAAGCAGCAACCATAACACTACCCGGCTGCCAGGCTTACACACTCACAGCACTATAGCACAGCTCGCTCATATATAACCCAGCCTCACATGATCCTGAGGGATCCTAAGCTGCAACTTAAGATGCAGGAAAGCACATACAAATAAAGTGACAAGACTTTCTATCTCACGAGGTTTTTCATCAAGCCTGCTGATAAGCAAAGCTGCATTTCACAGAAGATTTGTAGAGAATCTTTTTATAGCCTCTTTACACATCTTTTTTTTTTTGGTAACGATTCGCTGTGAAACTATCCTGCAGTTCATGTGTTTCCTTAAGGGCTTTGCATTTGTTTATCTTGCTGAGTAAAATTCCTACAAATGGCCTCAGTGTGGTAGCACTTCCCTAAAGGAAAGAGGCAGCATTTGAATCCATTGTGCAGAACTGGGTGTATTTTCTCACCTACAGATAGATTTCTCGATATAATTACAGGGGTATGAGAACAGAGAGAGGGAGCTCGTGAAAATCAGGGATGTGCTCCCTGAATGACTATCTGTGGAAAACACAGTTTCCTGGCTAAGTGCCTGTCTAAACACCCTTTGCCATCCTGCTCAGAATTTCTCACAGACAGTGAAGAGTGTGATTATTTTTTTTTTATAAGACACCTTTCTTTTGTCAGTGTACACTGCAACATGCTTTCAGCAAACTGAACAGATGATAGACAGTCATTCCCATCCTTTCTTTTAATGGACAGGGCTGTAAGAACTGATCTCTTTGTGTTTTGAAATAACGTATACAGAATATTTTCAGATGCAAATTGAAAATCATTAAATGGACTGGATTGTTTTTCCTGTGTTATATTCTCCACAGTTTGCTCCAGATGATGTAGAAAAATGTGAGCAGTGTGCAGAAATAAAAAAAAAATAAAAGAGCTATAACACAGCTGGAACAAACCATTGCAGCTCCCCTATAAAAGTAATAATCCATTTAACAACACTTCAGTAAGACAAACTGTATTCTGTAATATTTACTTGAGAATTCAATGAAAGAAGGATTTCTGTGTTAGATTATCAGGCTGTAAGTGTCCTTAAAGGAACATATTTTTAAAGTACTTCATTTTATGTGCTATAGGAATCAACAGAATCTAGAAAACTTGTTCACCTTCTAAGAAGTTGTCTTAAGGAAAAGGTTTATGATGGCCTGTTTGTGAGTTGAATTGGGGAATTCAGTTTAAGCTGGTTGAGAATATAAACTAATAAAGAAGCTGCTTCCAAACTTCAGGGATTTCAAAGAATTTTTAGGGAGGGAAATGGAAAATGAAAATGTTGGCAGTGGAGTAAGAGAGATTTTACATGTTCAGAAGTCGGTGTAAGATGTTTTCACACTTTATTGATGGTCTTTGTAACAATCTAAAATTTTCTGGAGACACAAATGTTTCTGGAGGGTTTTCTTGCATTACAACTATATCGTATTTAATTTAATGTTTCTTAACTTTTCAATTTCAGCCTACATACCTATGGATGTTGGTCTTCTCAGTTTCATAAAAGTAATGAGAATCAGTGGTAGCTATGTATATTCCCCAGGATTGCCTACGTGGCAACCTGAGATCTGTCTTAAGGATGGAGCCTCTATATACCAAGCTAGTAAAATTATTGATGATAAACTCTTGTAGAGGTGGACAGGGAACACGGTTTCTCACTGCTGTCTTAATCAGGTCACTGAGCTATCTCAGCAGCTCTGTCTGTTCCTCTTCACTACAGCTGATACATTGACTCCATATTTTTTCACCACGTCACAAAGCTTCTGTTGGTTTCCTTTCCTTAAATCCCTTTTGCAGAAGTCATCTGTTACTCCAAGGTATCATCAAAAGCATATTCCTTGAATTTCATTTGTACAAACAGCCCTTGTTTGTGAATTACTTAGTTTCCTACCAACACACTACACTTTTGGGCAGATGTAAAGTGGATCTAGCTAAAATTAAAACAGTAAGTCCAGACATTTGCTGAAGAGACTGTCTTGCTCAAAAAGTCAGCTTGAGTCAGCACAGAATATGTTTCAGGTAGGGCATAAGCAGAGGATTTTTCAGTTTGTTACCATTCTGGATAAAATTTCAAGGGGCTGTGCTAGGACAGTATAAGTGATTTGATAATCTAAAACTTCAGGTCTGAAATTGTAAGAAGCAGGTATGTGTCATAAAGCTGCACTGTGTTTATACAGATGTATGTCACATACCTGCTTTTAATCATTTAGACCTATCTTCTGATGAGAAGACAAAGGTCCCTAGAAAATGAATACCGTGTGAGTGTTTACTTCTTGATGATTTCTTTATAAATCCCTAATGTATTTGTAGGTGTATCTCCCACTGGGTTCAAATAAGATGCTACATTTTTTCTGTTATTACTATTCTTAATTGAATATATTTGGTCTCATTTAGATAAATATCCACCATATTTTGTTTTCCCCTCACAGTCACAAAGCTCCAAATAACAGACTTTTCTAGAGGCTACAGCAAGTCTAGCCAGGGCCACCAAGAGGGTCAGGCAGCTGGAGGGTATGATGGATGATGGAAAGCTGGATTATTATTTGTTCAAACTTCTGAAGAAAAGGCTCAGGGGCATCGTATTGCTGCCTGCAGGTCCCTAAAGGGCAAATACAGGGAAGACAGAGCTAGGCTAATTTAGAGGTGCCCAGTGATAGGACTGGAGGCCAGAGGCACATATGGAGACATGGGAAAATCTGGTTAGAGGTAAGAAAAACTTTCTCCCCATGTGGGTGACCAAGCAGGTGGGAAGAGTTTGCCAAGGAAGGCTGTGAAAATGTCAGATCCCAAATGGACTTGGTCCTGTATAACTGCTCTAAGTGGACTTGCTTTGAGGATATGGTCAGAGTAGACAAGCTCCAGAGGTCCCTTCCAACCTGTTATTCTGTGACTGTGTGACATGGCAGGGAGTGTTTGAGATGCTTATCTGATGGCTACAGCAGAGCCAAGTGAAACTAATGCAGTTGTCAGTTATAAAAGAGATACATTTCTAGAAATCTCCACTTCGCAAACCAGCTAAGTATCACCACCTGGGTTTGCAGAGGATTTCTACTTGTTCATCCCACAGGAGGCCTGCCAGTAGTTTGAGGAAAAAGAAGTCCTTATTATCTGAAAAACCTCCATTTGATCCAAGGGGTATAAGGTTCTGAGGAAATCTTTGATCAGGTTAGGGTATCACATTATGGTAGACTGGGATCTGGCAGAAAACTGGGCATCATTTAAAAGGTTTGTATAAACAGGGTGAACTTCCAGATAATTTGAAAGATGTATATTAATAGTAAGAGTCTAGATAGTTGTTTATAATAATTTGAAGTGTAAACAACAAGGGATCGGGCGAAAACTGGGCATCATTTAAAAGGTTTGTATAAACAGGGTGAACTTCCAGATAATTTGAAAGATGTATATTAATAGTAAGAGTCTAGATAGTTGTTTATAATAATTTGAAGTGTAAACAACAAATATGACATTTGAACCAGCAAATTACTTTTATCATAAACCACCTATGAGAAGAAACTGAGAGTTTTATTTCTGTCACATACTACGTGTTAAATAGGTTTCCCAAATCACTTTTAGCTACAGGTGCTTCCCATGTTCATCTGCCACCAAAACACCTTCAGGAAAGGAGTTTTCTAATGCATTTCAAAATGTCCAGATTTTATGGTTAATAACTTAGAAAATTTTTTCTTTGAGAATTTGAGCAAGTGGAATATATTCATGCAGTTATGTAATTCTCCTTTCAAAAGGGACATAGCAAATGATTTCTTATTATTCTTCTGTTTGCCCTGAGCTGGTAAGTCCAGTGCATGCATGAAAAGCCTATTAGAAAAAAAATCTATCTCTGTTCCCACAAGTCTAGCAGAGAATAATAAAAACGAATCATCTTTCTTGTAGAATAATTCAAGAAAGATACCATCTGCAGCCTCTGAAGGCAGAGTATTGCAAGGACTAGGTTAGTAGCAATAGCTAATGAAGTAGAGCTTGGCTGGGTGTGAGGCAGAGCAGAAAAGATTATGATTTTTTTATTAGATAAAAAGTCAAGGATAGCTTTCAACCAGAGGTCACCAGTGCCAAGCTCACTGACCCAAATAGGAAAATCTGCATATGCTAAATGAGACAACCAGAACATCAAGCTAAGCAGAGAAAGTTAAGAATGTTTTCTCATAGTTTCAGGATATTTGTTGTCTATTCTGACATGATTTTTAGAAAGTCAAGTTAATTACATGAGTCTATGATCTACAGTGCTTGCATTTGGGGAAAACATCACAATGAGATCTACATATGTACAGCTTGCTGATAACTAAAGTCCTGTGTGAAAAAGTTGTACTCAAACACTGTTTTCTACAAGGTCATCACAGATTGTGTACTCAGCCTCTGTACTTACACTGCACATGGGGCCAGATAAAGAGAACAAGAGGTTGAGTATTTTTATTGCTTTGTTTTGAAAATAGTGCTTCAAGAGCACTCCCACTGGTCCATCCTTTGTAGAAGAGATATTCCAGGAAACATCTGCATAGCACAGCACCAGCATTAACAGAAGTCAAAGTCAAATGGAAAGGAACATGACAAAAACAAACAGCTATATTTAAAATCTGTAGGAAAGTTCAACTTTGTTTTAAAAGAAAACTTTGAATCCCAGCAAATGCAAAAGCAGTTCAAGACAATCAGTTACTTTAGATACTT